GTATTTAACGTGATTGTTTTGTACAATTTCATACTAATTAGATTATAATACAGGATACACCCAATTTTCACACAATGTTTTGTATTTTTGACTCCCGACCAGCCTATTGTTCTTGTATGAGTACACCTACTTTTTGCAAAAAAATTAACTTTTTATGCCAAATAACAATTAATTGTTACTATTTAACCTAGATCCAACAAGGACATTCAAAAAAATCTTGTATTATCGAAAAAAAATGCAATGGGATCAAATGGGTTAATAAAATAACTTTTTTAAATACTTCTTTTCCTAATTTAAGTTTTAGCTGTAAGCGTAAGTCTTTATTTTAAATAAGGAATTTCTTAATCGTTTGTTACTCATATATTTTACCAACATTCTGTTACTGGTCCGCTGTTCTCTCCTAAACGTGGCGAAACGTGACGGACTTAGACATAATTCATTTTCGCGTACTTTGAACTGAGAGAATTGAGTTAGCGTAATTTGATTTTAGAAAGCACGGAATTTAAAAGCTCTAGAACTATAACTATAATAAATAAATCAAATTAGAATTCCGTAGTTACGAGAGCTGCTACTTGAGTTTTGAGATACATCTCCATACAATCTACAAATCTGGTACAAAGCTTGACGTTTAATTACTTACATAGTTTTGTTAAATAAACACTATTTGCATTATAATTTGTTAAAACAAATGTGTTTAGACAAAATAAAAATATCAGAGGTGCGGCTGATTAACAACAGATATTGAGAACACATAGCTGTTATAAGGCGGATATATATGTATATGTGGAGAGACAGACTTAATATTATACAATTGTGTGGTTTCACAGTAGAAGAATTATTTCGCGCAGCAGCCGACAGAGAAAGGTTTCAGGAAATTGTAAACATGATGACGGCCAACGTCTGAATACGGACACGGCACCCAAAGAAGAAGGAGAAACAGAGAGAGATGGCATTAGATAAAGAATCTTTTTACCACAGAAAAATGATATAAATAAGGATGTTTAAATTTGTATCTTTTTATAAACTTGATTAGAATATTATATATAGATTAGTATAAGCTGCAAGAATACTGATCTATATGTCAGTCATCCATTTGCCTAATGCACGTTGCTACTGGTATAAAAATATTGGAGTGTCCCAAATAAAAGAAACAATGAGCCAACATGCGTTTGATCATGTCAGAAAAGTAATTCATTTTACAGATAATTCAATAATGAAACCTAAGAATGATCCACAAGCAGATGGTCTTTATAAATTGAGAAATGTCGTAGAGCATTCAAATTAAAAATTTAAAAGTATATCTCATGAATAATATTTATCTGTAGATAAACAACTATAGACTGTATAAATAAGAGATACAGAAATTCAGTATTAGCAGTAAAAACATATCCAGGCGCAGATGTACCAACAGATCAGAATATTTTAGTAGGAAAAATAAGACTGAGATTAAAAAGAGTTACAAGGACGAATAAGCAAACAGTTACTATTGATAGAGAAAAGATGTTAAATGATACTGTACAACAAGAAATAACTAGTATATTAGAACAAAAAATGAAGTTAACATCAAGCAAATAGGAAAGTTCTGAGGAAAACTGGACGAGAATTAAAGACATCTTAAAGACTGTTTAAGAAACAAAATTGAGTGCGCTAAAAGCAAGAAAAAAATAAGGGTGAATGACAGAAAAAATACTGAGACTTATGAATCAAAGAAGAGACGTCAGAAATAAAGATAAAAACGAATACAAGAGGATCCACGCAATAATCAGGGAGAAGATAAGACACGCAAAAACACAATTTCATAGTAAAGAATGTAATGAAATTGAATAATATGAAAAGAAACACGATACATTTCATCTGCACAAGAAATTAAAAGAGGTTGCTGGAAACAAACGGAAGCAAGTATCCCAAAGTTTAGAAGACAGAAACGGACACAGAATATTAGACATCAATGAACAGTTAAAATAATGGGAAAACTACATGAATCTAAATTATTTGAAGATGGTAGAGTAAAACACTATACACCTATTGCTATATCAGGTCCATCTATAACAGAAAGTGAGGTTGCACGTTCAATACAAACGTCAAAAAATGGAAAAGCACTTGGCCCCGATGAAGTAAGTGCTGGAATACTAAAGTTTTTGGGAGAAAATGGAATTAAAGCTCTGTGTAATCTATTTAACAGAATTTATGACACTGGGATATTACCAACTGATTGGTTAAAATCGACATTTGTCACAATACCTAAGAAATATCGTCCAAAGACATACGGCGATTATCAGAAAATAAGTCTGATTATTCACGTTTTGAAGATCTTCCTGCGAGTAATACAAAGCAGAATTTACACGCTGTTAGAGGACAGAATTAGCAATACCCAATTTGGGTTTAGGAGTGGCTTGGGTACAAAACAAGCCTTGATTAGTATACAGGTGCTAGTACAGAGATGCAGAGATATAAATCAAAATGTGTACATTTGTGCAATCGATTTTGAAAAGGCTTTTGACAAAGTCCGACTAAATGCTAACAATAGACATAACATTCGTTAATTTTTGTGTTATTTCATTTATATCCTTCATATTGAATACTGGTAGAGGTCCTAGTCTCTTTTTGTAATTCACTTTCATATTTCTCTTGATTCATTTCGAGTGCTTCTATGTTTGGTAATTTATCTTGTGTTAATAATTTTCTTCTATCGAATTTCGTATTTACTTTTATTCGCACCCTAACTAATCAATGATCACTACAGCGATGTTTTTAAAGTTAGAGGGTATAAAGTCAATTTCATTGTGTACTTTGCCGTCTGGGCTGTGCCACGTCCATTTTCTCTGCGTCTTCTTTTTGTAGAATGTGTTTAAGCAGAATAGTTTTTCTTTGCTAAGGAAATTTGTGAGCATATCTCCCCTGTGATTTCTGTTTCCCAGTTCAAAATTTCCCATATATTCGTTGTCGTTGTTATTTTCGTCCTTTTCTATTTAAGCGTTTAAATCTCCCGTAATTAATGCGTAATAATTATGTTTTCTTTAAGTTTCAGGCTCTTCTAATGTCTCCATAAAGTTGTTCTACCTCTTCATTATCTGCAGAAGAAGTTCTGTATCTACGATTTAGCTATATTATCAGATATATAACTCTATTAAATATCGCTTGGAAGTTAGTTACCAAGTTTTCAATTCTCTTATGTACCAAAAAGCTTATGTCTCCTATACTTTGGTTATTTCCTGAATTATATGGGTACAAAGTGTGTCCCCTGATTTAAGTAGAGTCGTTACTTCGCCTTTAAGCCTTGTCTCGCATAAGCTTACTATGTCCCATTTTATGGCCTTAAGTTCTTCTTGCAACTCTTCTAGATTATCTTCTGTCCTCATCGTTCTGATGTTATATGTTCCGATGTGCATTCTGTGTGTACTAAGCAAATTATTGACTCCCCCAGATTATACCCCACCATCCTGGGGACTCTGTTCGTTCATTTTAGTACTCGCCATGTCTATATAGTTATGAGGATGAGTAGCCTTAAAACACCACGCTGGATAGACGGGTTGGTGAGTTTTATATCAATCGCCCGCTCTGGGTCAGACGCTACTGTTTTGATTCTATATTAACCCTATAACTGAGGGATGTCACTTCCTCCATACTAACTATATCGAAGCTCCGCTTCTTTGCTGTGACTGCCGTTGTGGACTTCATCCGCAACCCTGGACAAGCGACCTTAAACAAGTACAAGTTTCCCAGGTCAGGAAGCCCATGGAATCTGTGGAGGGCATGGATTGATTCATTTTCCCTGATAGGACTATCTTCAAGAATTTAAAGAGTTCCTACCCGCTACACTCTTGTAATACTGCCTGAGAATTTGAGATTATTACGATGTTCTCACAATAATTAGCGACATACCAAGTTAGTGCTTTCTGTATAGCAGCAGTCTTGGCTGTAAAAATAAAACAACATTCAGATATTCGATATTTATCAACATAATTGCTGTTTGAAACAAAAATGCGAAACTAGCACTTTCAAAAGTTTTTGATCCATCTGTATAAATTATTGTTAAATCTTCCCTAATTTGCTTAGTATTGATTTAAATATCAGATTAGTTAAAATTGGCAAAACTGAATAAGAGGACAATATAATAGTTGGTTTATCTATCAGAACTTCAAAGTCTTGTTCGTAAAAAGAAAATTTTGGTACCTGTAATATATACATAAGATTAAGATGAATTCATATCAATAAAAGATTCTACAAGAGGAGGAAAATGTTTTATTCTCCAGTAAGACGTTTGTTAAATTTTCTGGCAAAAGTAAACATATTTTGTAAACTATAGTTGTATTAAACGATCTGTATGTTATTAGACGTTTATTGACAACACTTGTCCACGTATGTGTAAAGGTGGTTCCTGAGCTTCTGCTAGAACTGCTTTGTTTGCTGAAGAGTAATCCTAGATAATTTTTTTTATTGATACCAGGTTAACCCACCCGTATCTAATGAAGAAAGAACAACAAAAACTGTGCTATGTTTGTGATATTCCTCTGACAATCGAACACATTATTGTTAGTTGCACACTCTATCACCTGGAACGACTTCAAAGTGATTTACCAAGTGATCTGAAAAGTGCTCTGAACTATAGTAACGTGATAAAGTGACTAAGTTTCTAAAACTAACTAAATTGTACAATCTAATATAAAAATAGACTTAATTTTCAATTCTCAATTGTAATTAGTTGTTATAAGCAAACATCTGATTTATGTACAACTCTTTCCCGCCAATAACCTTTCATGGTTGACGGGGTTTACTTAATAAAAAAAATTTATTGATTTAAATGGTATTCTGTCAAGTGTTAATATATTTGTTTTGCATGTTGTACGTTCTAAATATGTATTATACATTATTTGAATATGATATATACATTTTTCAATGTAGGCAATCAAAAATTAGTTTAAAATTTTGTTTTGTTATAATGAAACAATTTCTAAAAAGCGATAGACAGACCTTAAAAGGACAGAGGATTTGGTGGTTACCTTTGACCTGCAGTTTCGCAGTGTACCTAACCTCTGAGGCTGGGTTGCTGGCCACGCAGGTAAAATCGCCGGAGTGTCTCGAATCAAGGCTAGAAATGCTGAGGAGGCTAGAATAAGGGTCAAGGGCTGAAACGTTGACGCCGAGGTTAGGCGTCAATGGTTGACCGTCCTTGAGCCAAGAGACCACAAGGGGTGGATCACCTTTACTCACACCGCAGACGGTACGGGTACGCATGCCTTCTGATAGCCCGTCTTGGAAGGAAAAGGGCTCAATTATAGGGGGAACTGAGAGAAAACAAGAGAAACAAACATCAGAGATAGAAAAGAAAAAAAGAAATAAAAAAATGCGCCGCACGAGCTGGCGCCGAATTACCATTAACAACCAACTGCTGTGTGTGGGAGACCTCGGCTGCAAGGTTCCTCACTACGCAAGAATAGTTGCCGTTGTGTTCTGGAGAGAGACTCTCTATCACCAGAATGCTAGTGAATTGGTCCACCTGCGTTATCGACATCATTTGAGCAGGTTCTACGGATCTTCCGTCTTTGTGCCAAGATATTGTCAAAGGTAGGTCTCCTTTGGTTACAGAACATGTTAGGCTGGCTCGGTCGCCAACGTGAAGAGTGTCTTCTGCGTAGAATGGGCTAACTTTTGGAGGAACTGTAATTGAAAGATTCATTAACACATAAAATATATCATCTGTAGACTCCTCTATGGCAAAACTGGCTGAAATTATCTAGAAAATCTCATTAATTTCATAGCTTAATAGGATGTTTAAATTAACTTCAAATTTAAAAACTTAATAAATAAAAAACTGAATCACTTACAAGTTGGATATCAATTAATTTTTTGAATCGTAATAATTTTTCCAAATAAAGTTCGTTAAAAATGCGTAAAGGATCAAAGATTAAAGACAATTAAATAACATAATTACAACAAATGCTCGAATGCTGTACGATACAGAAGGTAGATTGTTTATTTATTAAAAATACCAAATTCCACTCAAATGACAACGGCTTTGTAATGGGCTATACATCAACAATACAACTAAATAAAGTATATCAAGTGGTAACAAGTTTACTCAGTTGTAGTATATTGCCAAAAATCAAGTAGGCTGTAAAGACATGTCAAAGTCCTTAGCAGGAACTTCCTCAAGAACTTCCCTGTTTATTGTCAACCAATTACAATAGTAAAAACTGAAGTTCTCCATTCAGCAATATAGGATAGTTTGAACCATGTTCTTCCAACCATTAATTAATAGAGTACCGGCATTTAAGTAATGTTTTATTTATTTACTAGCTGACCCGGCGAACTTTGTTCCGCCTTAATGGCAATAAATAAGCAGATTGTTTTTTTTTCTTTTGAAAAAATACAAAAAAAATTAAATAACTACATCAATCATTCATTATTATTTGTATATTTTAGTACATAGGTTGCTCTTCACTTAAGTACCTTGTGATACACGACATTTTTTGTTTTATTATCAGGCGCAAAAACAAACAACGCAGATGGTCTTCCGACCCGTGAACATGCCACGTATAATTGACCATGAAAACATGAATGTTCTAGATTTAAACCACAAACTTTTAAGGATTGGCCTTGTGATTTGTTGATGGTCATGGCAAATGCAAGACGTATCGGAAACTGAAGTCTTTTAAATTCAAACGGCATATCGGTTGGGATCATCGGGATCCTCGGAATGAGAACTTCCTCACCTTTGAATTTTCCTATCATTATCGTAGCGTAAATTACATTGTTCATCAATTTACTAACCACCAAACGCGTACCGTTGCACAGTTTTGGTTGGTTTATGTTTCGAAGCATGATTACTACGGAGCCAACCTTTAGGCGTAAATTGTGCGGTGGTAAGCCAGGCACGTCCAAAGAGTTTAAAAATTCAATTGGATAGTTGGTGGCTTCATCTTCATTTGTGACGCAGTCAATAGATTTGAATGAATGCATTGTTCCAATGATCCTATTTTGAATTATGTAGTTCAGGTCATCTACATCTTTATTCTTAGCCGCTAAAATTGCTCGCTCACTCAACCATTCATTATTTCGAAAACATGTCGAAGTTATTTCGAGTATTTGCAAGAAAGTGGCGTGATTCTTGTGTTTCGCCACAAAGCAATGAATACAATGGCTCATATGGCGGAGTCAACACTGGCAATTTCACTTTGCCATTAAGGCAGCATAATCCAGGCGTTTCTCCGGAAAACTTTAATGCACCACAATACTCGCAAACAACGTCCATTTGCCCAATGCAAACTCTAGGATGCAAGCTGTAATCATTGCTGCAATCGTATCGAAACGCTGCTCGATTCAAATCAGCTAAATATCTTGTTCTGCGTCGCAAATTATCTATTTGTTGCCTTCTGTTGTTAGCTCGACGATTCTGCATTGCCAGCCGAGCTGTTTCACGGGCTGCTTCACTTTGCTCTCGTGATTGAGAAGCACGAAGTCGAGACATACTATCGCGGCGCTGTTCACGTGCAATTTCTTGTTCTTCCTCAGTCCTTTCATTTGCAGTATTTTGTATTCTTCTTGCATTACGGCTTTGTTAGGAAAGATTCGATCGTCTTGGTCGCGGCATTATTAATTAAACTTCACTTCAATTCAATTACGGCTTTGTCGGGAAAGATTAGATCGTCTTTGTCGCGGCATTATTAATTAAACTTCACTTCACTTCAATCCACTTGTTAATTATTTATTTAATAGAAATAGTTTTAATATTGATTTCTTACAAATATCAAATTGTCATCCATACGTTATTACATAGCTGTCATTTTACGTCAATTACATAGCTGTCATTTTACGTCAATTACATAGCTGTCATTTGCGTTTTGTTATTCCAAGTCTGATTCTTTTTTGTTATACCACGTTTTATAGTGACTGACGTTTCATGTCAAGTCACACGGGAACGCTGTCGAACGGGATAAAAAGTATCCTATGTCCATGTCCTGGCTCTAAGCTACCTCCCTACCAATTTTCAGCCAAATCTGTTCTGCCGTTCTTGAGTTATAAGTGGTGTAACTAACACGACTTTCTTTTATATATATATAGACTAATTTATTTAAATTCAATAGCCTTTTTTATTCCAATTTGTGGGTCTTACCTTGTCTGCTTAAACAGTTTATTCATTTTGAAAAACCACAGATATGTAATATTGACATAATTACTGTAATTTATATCATTTATCTTTATAAGATAACTCCCTAACATGGGTTTTATTATTTCAGCATTTAATTAACTTTGTATCGAGACCTGCAGATTCTTTGCATATTGTAGAAAGCGAAACCGGTCGTCTAGATAGTTAAATTAAACTGATTGTGAGTAAGTCATATTTATTATTTCTTTTAACTAATTAACACATATCTTCAATACAACAGCTAAGAAATACAATATGATAATATTAGCAGAAAAAAAAAAACAAATGTATAACAACATCTAAATACCCACTACGGTGTGAAATTGAAATTGATGGAAAATAATAAAGCAGGAAGTAAGTTTTAGATATAACTGGTTACGGAGATGTTGAAGAAGTACGACAACAAAGCTTAAAAGCAAGTAAAGCAGCGGGTTCTCTTAATGACACAATCTGGAAGAACAAACACCTAAGACAAGACACAAAAACAAGAATCTATAAAGCAGCAGTTAGACCTATATTAACATAAACGGCAGAAACAAGACCTGACACATCTAAAAGACGACTGCTAGAAACAACAGAGATGAAAATACTCCGACAAATATCAGGGAGAAGTTGTTTGGATAGGGAGAAAAGCGAAAACATAAGAAGAGCATGCAATATAGAACACATAAATGGATGGGTGACAAAACAAAAACAGTTGTGGAACGTACATATCAGTAGAATGACAGATGATAGAATAGTACGAATAGCATGAGATAAGTCATTAAATGGACGAAGAAGTATTGGCAGACCAAGAAAAAGATGGTGCGACAATTTAAACAATTTAGAGAAGAATATAATATCTTGTTTAGAGAAGAATATAACAAAAAGAAGAAGAAGAATATAATATCTTGTTTTTCGACGAGGCCACTTTTTGTTTAAATGGTACCGTTAGTAGGCAACATTGTCGTTATTGGGCAACAGAAAATCCCAATTGAGCAATGGAAGTTTATACCCACTATCTCCAAAAAGTATATATGTGGACTGGGATTGGTAGGAATACCATTGTAGGACCAAAGGTTTTTTGACGGTACTGTGACATGTGAAAGGTATTTGGAGATATTGCAAACCTACGTAGTTCCATTTTTAACCGCAACATTTCTAGATATCAATAATGCGACTATTTGGTTTTATCAGAATGAAGTCCACATTATGCTGTAGTTGTCCACACGCTGGATGGGACGACTCGGTCTTATTAAATGGCCTGCTAATTTTCCAGATTTGAATCGCATGGAATTTTCTATTTTTGGTTATTTGAAAAGTAAGGTATATGTAAACCAAACTACCAATTTGGTAGACTCTTCTTCTTCATGTACCATGTTCTTTCAGAACGTTGGTTACCATCATAGCTATTTTAATTTTATTCACTGCCACCCTAAATAGCATGCTTGTATCTACACCATACCAATCTCGCAAGTTCTTCAACCATGAGGTTCTTCTTCGTCCTGGACTGCGTTTGCCTGCTATTTTTCCTTGCATGATATTTTGTAGCAATCTATATTTGGGACCTCTCATTACATGTCCGAAATATTCCAGCTTTCTCTGCTTGATGCTTTTTATGATCTCAGTAGTCTTGCTGAGACGTTCTAGTACTGTGGAGTTACGAATCTTCTCCACCCAGGAAACTTTTAAAATTCTTCTATAGCACCACATTTCGAAAGCCTCAAGGCGATTTAGATCAATTTTATTCACAGTCCAGGACTCGACAGCATAAAGTAAGACCGAGAACACGTAGCAGCGAAGTAGACGGATCCTTAATGCCAATTTTAGGTCTCTGTTACATAACACCTTGGACATCCTTCTAAAAGCAGCTCTAGCCTGCTCTATTCTGGATCTAATTTCGCCGTGATTTTCTGCATTACAATTTAATTGCTGTCCAAGGTAGACGATTTTATCAACTTGCTCAAGTTTGGTATTATTTACATATATAGACGGTTTTATATTCTGTTGTTTACTTATTACGAGTATTTTGGTTTTCCTTATGTTAAGATCCAGACCTGCCTCCCTACAACTCTCAACGAAACTATCAAGTAGTGTTTGCAGATCTTCTTGACTAGAAGCTAGGAGTACTGTATCGTCCGCATATCGCAAATTATTGATGACTTCGCCGTTCACAAGTATTCCTTCTTGTTTTTCAGAAAGTGCTTTTCTGAAAATTCTTTCGGAGTAAACGTTAAAAAGCAGGGGTGACAAGAGGCATCCCTGCCGTACTCCTCTTTTAATATTGAGAGCTTATGATTCCACACCATCTACTAAAACTGATGTTGTTTGATTCCAATATAAATTTGCAATTATTCGAACATCTCTGCCGTCCAAGCCAATGTCTTTTAGAGCTTCGATCAATATAGAGTGCTTAACACGATCAAATGCTTTTGAAAGTCAATAAAACAACAGTATATGTCTACCGATATATCACGACATCTTTGAGCAAGTACGCTCATTCCAAACAGTGCCTCTCTCGTTCCAAATCCGT